TTATGGATGTCTTTTATTTTCTTACTTATATTCTTTATTTTTAAAACATCCTATTATGAATGTGTACTTTTTCAGAGGGTAGCTGGGTAGGGACAGTGGTGTCCTCACAGTATCTCCGGCTCTAGCACAGGGCACGGGGAGTCACCGGATGTCCTGCAGCATGGAGGGCTGAGGCGGGCCTGCTGGAGCAGGCTGGGGCCAGGTCGGGGAGAACAATGTGCTCAGCCTTTGTCGAGAATGTGAGGGGGGTGACCAGGGAGCGGGGTCCCAGGAGACTGTGCAGAGCTGCACTTTGGAAAGAGGCTGCAGCATGAGAAGGAAGCACCCTTACCCAGTAGAAAGGCCACAGGGCTTGACCTTGGGTCCAGGTGACCGCAAAGGAGGGGGTAGGCCATCGGAACACTCTACTAGCTCTGCCCTTCAGAAAACATTCTCCACTAGGAGGTTTCCCAGGAGGGGGCCCAGCTGTTGACCCCCAGCCATCCTGCAGCCCATGGTCACTACTCACTACAGGTGACCTGCAGCAGCCAGTCACCTGTGCCATCCCATCAGTCCCACTGAATTTGATGCCTAGTTTAAAGATAAAGAGGTATATGGCCAGGATAGTTATTTTTAGACGTAGACTTAGCCAAGCCATGGTACCCAGAAATTTGGTCAAACAATGACCAGGATGTTGCTATGAAGATATTTTTAAGATGAAATTAACATTCAAATCAGTAAAATTTTTGAGTAAAGCAAAGGACCCTGCATAATGTGGGTGGGCCTCATCCAATCAGTTGAAGACCTCGAAAGGAAAAAGACTGACTCCCCCAGGGAACAGAAAATTCTGTTTGCAAACTGCCTCTTGACCTGAGCTGCAACACTGACTCTTCCCTGGCTGTCCAGCCTGCCAGCCTACCCTGCAAATATTGGACTTTCCAGACTCCACAATCACATTCCTTGAAATAAAGTATCTCCAAGGTAAATCGGTATGTAAGTACGTAGGTAGATATAGATATATCCCATTCATTCTGTTTCTCTGGAGGACCCTAATGCACTGATGACACCATTGTCCAATTAGCTGGAGATGGAGTCAAGAAGGTTGTAGTCTTCATTGGAGTGTCAAAGGCATAGCTCTAGCCCAGCAAGGTGGCACACACCCATGTTCCCAGCAACTTGGGAGGCTGAGGCAGGAGGATAGCCAGTTCAAGGTTAGCCTGAGCAACTTAGTGAAACCCTGTCTCAAAATAAAAGGGCCGGGGAAGGGCTGGGGTTGTGGCTGAGGGGTAAAGTACTTGCCTAGCATGTATGAGGCACTAGGTTCAATCCTTAGCACCACATAAAAATAAATAAATTAAATAAAGGTACCGTATCCATCTATAATTAAAAGCTATTTTTTAAAAAGGGGGAGGGGTGCAGGTGGATAGAGGGCCTCTGGGTTCAATCCCCAGTATCAAAACATAGCTCTGATTATACCATCATCCTGCTCAAAATCTTCTAGGGCTCATCTGCAGCTTTCCAATAAAGTCCCAGTTACATGGGCTAGCATTCAGGGATCTCTGTGCCTGGATTCTGTCTCCATTCCTGGTCCCTCTTCTGATGACTGGTAAATTAATTATTATGCCCCAGTATTCACTCTGTCTCTCTAACAAGATTGTACATCCGTGTCCTCCGTCTTGTGATTTGCACTCCCTGCTCCCCCCACACCCCACTGCTCCCACCCACCAGGGAAGAAGTGCAGGTTCCCACTCCATTGATTTGGGGCAGCCCCCAGAACTTGCCTTGCCCAGTAACGTGGAATCGATCAGACGTGACATGCACCGGTTCCTGCAGAAACTTCAAATGTGGCTTGTCTGTGGCTCCTGGCAAGGGGGGTGGGAGGAGCATAGAACTCTCTCACTGAGATCTTTGTGCCACTGAAGTCATGGAGTAACAGCTGCCCGGTCGGAGGCTTTTCTTGGAAGTCCAGATTTTATGCTCTGCTATAGTGAGAAACTGCTTCATTATAAGCAGTCAGCAGCCCGTGTTTCTGGAGGGCTTGTTAAATCACTTACGATTTGGGCTGGTTACATTATGGATTTTACTCTGTGTTTGGGGGGAAAGTGTCTAAAAATGAAGTCTTGCTTTATTTTTACTGAGGTAGCAAGACAGGAAACTATCCTAACAGTGGACATCAGACTCCCAGCTTGACCATGAAGTGTGTTTCTTTAGGTCACTGGGGATAGAACGGGAGACCCTGGGACATGGGAGGACAGAAGGAAATGTGAGATTGCTAAACCGCCCTACTGAAGAAATAAATAAGAATGTGGGGAGGGGGTGCAGAGGGATAGATCTGAATAAAAGAAGAGCAGAAAGAGAGAAGGCCAGAGTAAGCAAAGTCTGCACCCCCGCTTGCCAGAAGCAGAGGCCTCCAGTTGTCCCCCGACAAAACCTAGCCTCCCTCGTCTTGCATATAACAGTATTATAGCTGCGAACGTCACTGTCCCATTAAAGACTCTCATTTCTTAGGCGCCATTGCAGCCAGCGTGATCCTGTGGCTCCAGCAGAATGAGAATGTGCACATCTGCCTCCGTGAAGGAATCCTCGGCCTCCACCCTCCTCCTCTCCTGATGGGCTGCTTGTGCCCGTGGCTTAACCCAGCTCCGGCCATGCTCATGAGGACACGCCTCTCCCAGGGGACAGCAAAGCCTGAAGCTAAAAGGAGCTGTGATCTGAGTGACAATGGAAGCAGACACCTCTCATTTCAAGACTTGTAGATAGAAAGAATGTCACAGATGGGAGCGGAAGAGATGGTGTTTTTGTTTCTTTACTGTGGACCAGACCTTAACTGATAGCCCTGGCAGACATCACTACGGGGATTATGTGAAAAACAAGAGATCAGTCTTATTCTGTTTTTAAAATTTGCCCTTTCTGCACAGCAAATCCTCTATCTTTTGACTTTGGGCAAAATCTGTTACCAACATCAAGGCCTTGGGCAAGCAAAAGGCTTGGTAGAAACCAAGAAAGAAACTGGTGTCCACAGCTGGCCCAAGACAGCACCAGACCAGGGAGAATGGACCCAGGGCGAGGCGCAGACTGGAAGAGCTCCTCAGAACAGGTGCCCCCAGCAAAGACTCACCTGAGTCCCCCGAGTGAGAATCAGAGGGTCTGGCCTCCCCACAGGAGGTGAATAAAGGGTGACCCTTCAACCTGGGCCACAGAGGGCCAGAGAGCTCCAGTGGGCACAGGGACAGGTGATTCCACCAAGAAGGCACGAGGGTGCAGTCTTCAAGAATACAGAGCTTACACAATCAATCCGCGTATGTGCGGGTCGATGTTTGAATTCTGTGTTCTGTGCCATTTTTTTCTACGTGTCCATTTTTAGGCCAACATCACATTGTCTTGTTAATGTCACTGTGCTGTCAATTTTTAAATCACATAAAATGGGTCCTTCAGTTCTATTCTTTTTAACTTATCTTGTTATTCCAAGTGCTTTGCATTTCCATATAAAATTTTGTAGTTTGCTTGCCAAAACAAAAACAAACAAACAAACAAATCTCTGCAGATATTTGGCCTGGGATTGCACTGAGTCTGCTGTTAATTATGGGTAGAACTTATCTCTTAATAATATGAAATTTTCTTACTGGTGGGCAAGGAAAGTCTGCCCAATTAATTAATTGAAACTTCTTTAACTTTTCCCATGCTTGTTTTATAGTTTTTTTGGATACAAATTCTTTACATGTTTTTTAAAAATTCCTTTTTAGTTATATTGTATCCATTTTAAGCTGTTGCAAATAGTAGTTGTTTGTTTGTTTTCCTTTCATTATCTGTTTGTTGTCAGTAAAGAGAAAGACATTGGGTTTGGGGGGTGCAGGGAGGAAGAACTGAGAAGTGAAATCAGACTAAGCTTAGGAAACCATGGGTGATCTTAGCGCATGGAAATTCAGCAGAATCGTGGAGCCACAACCCCAATGGGAATGAACCAAAACATGAAAGAGAAATTAGGAAAATGGGGAACATTAGATTTTGAGAAGTATGGTGGAAATGAAAGTGCAAAGTATTTTAGGAAACAGGGTAGAGATGGCTATAGCCAGGGGCGGAAGAAAGGTTCAAGTGTTTTTCAGGGTTTTTTGTTTGTTTGTTTCCTGAAAAAGGTAGAAAAAGAGATTCAAAGATCTAGAAGCTGAGAGATAAACAACAACAACAAAAACAATGAATCCTCATTAATAAAATATATTTTGTTTCCATGTATGTACGAGTTTGTCAGGATGAACCCATCTACTATGTATTACCATAAAGCTCTAATAAAAAATTACAAAAAAAAAAAAAAAAAAAGAATACAGAGCTTAGAGTCTGCTTGTATGAGTTCCAACTTCAGGGAAGTAACTTGAACTGCAAGCCTCAGTTTTCTTACTTGTGAATTGGGTATACTAATATCTACCTCATAGTGTTGTCAGAGAGATGTCAAAGGAATAACCTACATAAACCACTGAGCATGGTACCTGAAATACCATGAGGGATCAATAAAGATTAGCTTTTATTTTATTTTATTTTGGGGAGGTTACTGGGGATTGAATTCAGGGGCACCTCGACCACTGAGCTACATCCCCAGCCCTATTTTGTATTTTATTTAGAGACAGGGTCTCACTGAGTTGTTTAGTGTCTTGCTTTTGCTGAGGCTGGCTTTGAACTCACAATCCTCCTGCCTCAGTCTCCTGGGCCACTGAGATGACAGGCATGTGCCACCGCGCCCAGCCAGCTTTTATTTTTAATATAACATCAGTTCATTTCATCACAATGTTAACATGAAACCCAGGCTGTTATTCAGCCTTAGAGAAAATCTCCAACTTTAAGACACTTTGGCAAAGTCATGCACTCAGCTGTTCCTCACTTCACCTGAGGAAGGTCGGAAGGCAGAGGGTTTCACTCCGGCAATGTGACGTGTGAAGGACAAGGTCAGAACTCTACTGCTCAGGTGAAAAAATAGAGGAGGTTGGGCCTGTCACAGCGCATTTGAGCAACTCTAACAAAACACCACGGACTGGAGACCTATCAACAAAGGAAATTTATTTCCAACAGTTCTACACATGATGAGTCCAGGATCAGGGGTCTGGAAGAGTCTTTGTCTGGGAAGACCCCACTTTCTGGTTCCTAGACTGTGTCTTCTTGCTGTGTCCTCACATGGTGGGAGGGTCAGGGGTCTCTCTGGCACCTCCTTTATTAGGTACATTAATCTGGGCATGGCGGCACACATCTGTAATCGCAGAGACCTGGGAGGCTGAGGCAGGAAGATTGTGAGTTGAGGCCAGCTTGGGCAACCTAGTGAGACCGTGTCTCAAAAGAAAATGAATAGGATAGGGGATATAGCTTAAAAAAAAAAAAAAGATATAAGGGCATTAATCCCACCATGAGGGTCTGCCCTTGTGACCTAATCCCTTCCCAAACACCCCACCCCCTAACATCATCACCTTATGACTAGGATGTCAGCGTGTGAATTTGGAAGGCAGGCAGAGATATAGACATTAGGCCTGGCTGTGCCCAGGATACCCGTTAGTGACAACTAGAAGCAAGACTGGGGCCCATTATTCCAGTTCAAGGCATTTTAGCAAAACCATGTTGACAACAAAATAAAAAAAAAAAATTCACTCAAATTTCAATGTGTCTTTCTCTCTCAGTAAGTGACCCACGGTCCACTCAGAAACTCAGACCAGAAAGCCACCGATGTCCTCTGCTTCCTGTCTGCCCTTATCCTCTGTGTCTGATGAATGCTGAGGTTTGTCTAGTTCATCTCTAAAACCGCTCTCAAAACCATCCACGTCTCTACCGCCACCGTCTACTTCCCACCACCCACAGTAGCCTCTTAACTGCTGTCCAGTTTTGTCCTCTCATTTTGCTCTCCTCTCAGCAGCCAGAGTGTGAGTGTGAGTGTGTGTGTGTGTGTGTGTGTGTGTGTGTGTGGTGTGTATGTGTGTGGTCTTGCTTTTCAGTACTGGCGGTTGAACTCAGGGGTGCTCTACCACATCCCCAGCCCTTTTGATTTTTTTATTTCTAGACAGGGTCTCACTAAGTTGTTGAGGTTGGCCTTGAACTTGCAATCCTCCTGCCTCAGCCTCAGGTTTCTGGCACGCACCACAACTGGCAGTCAAAAAAAAAAAAAAAAAATTTAAAGCCCAAGTATAGCTATTCCTGTACTTAATACTGTACCTTCCTGTCCCCACTTAGTACTGTACCTTCCTGTCCCCACTTAGTACTGTACCTTCCTGTCCCCACTTAGTACTGTACCTTCCTGTCCCCACTTAGTACTGTACCTTCCTGTCCCCACTTAGTACTGTACCTTCCACTGGCTTCCCTCTCCCAGGGTGAGTCCAATCAGCTACGTGGTCAGCTTCAGCTCCTAACCCTCTCTCTGGCTCCCTGAGCACTAATGACACATTTTTCAGCATCTCTTAGAAGAAGCTTCCTGCCCTTGGATGCTGTTTCTCCACCTAGGGCCATCCCTTCTTCTCTACCTCCCTTCATCTTGCCAATTTATTCATTTGAAAACACTTTTATCAAGCTCCTATCCTGCGCCAGGCACTGTTCTAGCCCACAGAGGTAGCTGATCTTTTCTGTGACCCATGTTGGCAATCTGGCAAAACCTTTAGGCCTTTGCTCAGGCTGAGGCTTTCTAAATGCATAAAATAAATACAGAGGGTTATAAATGAAACCAAATAGGTTGACATTGTTACCAAGATATTCTAAAATTATGCTACTGTAATATATAAGTTTCATTATAGTTGCATTAAATAACAAGATCTATCAGTGGGTCTAAATAATGTTGTCACTTCGTGTTAAAGCAAAATCACATTTTAAGATACCTGTATAACTGCAGTGTGTAACAAAGTCTCAAGTGCGTTGTGTACTATTGTCGTTTATTTCCTACATTCCCAATGAAAGGAAATGCTAAATTTCAGTTAGAGGTAGAAACGATAAAGATGTGATTTTTTTTTCTATCCAGATTTTAGAACCCAAACTGTATCCGCAGACCAAGAAGCTCCTCAGGATTAGTTCTAGCTGGAGGGAAGGAGCAGGAAAGCAGATTTATATAGGAGCTGACCTCATGGGAAAGGCAGATAACAAAGATGATAATTTTGAATTGCAATGAGTTATTTAAAATCAATGATTTCAGGAAATAATGAGTCATTTAAAGAAAATAAAGTAGAATAAAATTTATAAATATATAAAGAAAAGTGAGAGGTTAACCAAAGCCATCGATTAGGGTAATTAGAAAAGGGTCCCCAGGAGGTGACCCCAGCTGAAAGCCAAAGGAAGAGAGGGGGCTGGTCTTATAAAGAGCCAGGGAAGGATGTCCCAGAGGGGACAGTAAGATGAGGGAACGTGAGCCAGACCCAGAGAGCGTGGGTTGCAGGGCGCAGTGCAGGCAGATGGAGTCGAGGAAGCTGGCACACGTCAGTCCTCACAGGTGGCGCAGGAAGCCCCTGGTCTCCTGCCTCAGTTTCCCTCTCTAGAAAGCTAGGATGGCGTTGACAGGAGCATCCGCGGTTATTCTGGGAGCACTTGAGACCTGGGAGAGCCACTCTCCCTGGGAGCCTTTCTCCAGTGTCCATCATCTCTGAAGCCTCACAGTTGCCCTAGGAGCTGCAAGCTCTCAGGTCCCCATATGACCAAGGGATTAAGCCATTTGCTCGAGGTCACATAAGACTAAGCCATCTGACTTGGGGCCCCTTCCATTCCCCGCCACCTTTTCTTCTGCCTTTTGCCAGTGGTTAAAGCATGAGCTATTTCAAGTCAAATTCACCCACCTCCCCAGCTGTCCCCAGGACAGTCATCTCTGCTTCTTCCCCCCTGCAGAGTAGTCTCCCAGGAGGAGAAATTAAAATTCAAAGGCAGCAGCTAAAAGCCACATGGCCTGAAGGAAGCCACTTAGCCCTCACTGTGAAACCAGGAAAACCATGGCAACCCGCTCCCGGGGCTCTATTAAAGAATCCAATCCCAGAAATCAGCCTCCACCCAGCGGGGGAGGGGAGGTGTCTCTAAGTGGCTGGTTCCCCTCCTCCGGCACCCTGAGGTGCTAAAAGCAGCCGCATCCCCATGGGGGCTTCTGCCAGCGCCCTGGAGACTCAGATGCACACCCGGGTCCTGTCCTTTCCCAGGAGAAGTTTCTCTCCAGAGGTAGGTAGCAGCTAGGAATATTAAAGGATCAGCCTTTTGTGTATTCACCATCCTGAACCAGCCTCCACCCAGCCAGGCGGGGTGAGAGAAAGAGGGAGAATCAGGCAGAGAGCAAGGGCGGTAGTGACCTTTTGTATTTGCCCTGCTTTCTCTCCCACACCCCCTGTCCTCCTACAACTAGATTTCAGAGCCTTCCCCTGGAGATCTCGTCATCTCCTTCCAGTGGGTGCTGTGGCCTCCAGAATAATTTAGAAAACAGGCGTGTTCCCACTCCACCCAGGTGTATTGGGCACACCTGCCCCCACCTGCTATCAGCAAGATGGAAAAAGGCCCCAGCATGTCTGTGCCTGATAGTAAACGCCGTAGCTCAGCTCAGGGAGACCTCCCTGGGGCAGGGGGTTTCGAGGTCAGAGGCACCTAGTGCTTTCCAGGGGCTCCGCACAGCCCGTGTTAGATGGAAGCTGCATCATCTTCCCTACACAATTTTTGTTTTTCCAATATCACCTGCAAGACCAAGGACACCCCAGAAACAACAGAGGTGAACGAACTTCTCGGAATCTTCACTTGGCCCAGGCATGAGCTAAGTACATCACCTGCACTACCTCCTTCAAACCTTATAATTATAAGATTGGTGCTATTCATATTCCATCTAATCTTAAAAATCACGATTTTACAGGATCAGAAACATATTTAGAAAATTGCCTGAGATCACGGAACGTTTTAGACTCAGGTCATCTGACTCCAGGGTTTCTACTTGCCCGGATTTTATCCATGGTCAAAGAACGGGTCTAGATCCTTCTGGTGGCAATTCCACCAGTTGAGTTTGGATCCAGAATGGCTTTGTCAACACGAGGTGACGTGGGTAATGTTGTGTCATGGGGAGTCTCACCCAGATACTGTAAAACGGTCCCAGAAACCCTTGTGAATGGAAAATATTAACTGCCCGTGCTTTCTCCGGGCACCTCATGGAAACCAAGACTTGAGCTGACTCATTCACACTGCAGACACCTAATGGTGGCAGCAGTTTCCTTTTTTGATGTGGCTTCCCTTTAGAGCTTATCTTGTCAAACTGCTGGAGAGAAACAGAGTTCCTTCCATTTGGCTAAATTCCCACTCATCTTGGCTACAGTGACATGGAAGGGAGAGAGAGCCCGGAGGACAGCAGAGCGGGCGAGGTGGCTCACCGAGGCCAGCAGGCAAGGCGGGCTTCACCAGCCCAAGCGACCTGTGGATCTGCCACCTGCGTCAGCAGAGGGGAAAGGCGTGAGGCCTTGGATGGCCCCCTTCCAGCTGTGCTCACGGCCCACCAGGCACAGGGTGCTCCCAGGAAAACATAAACCCTGGGGCCCTAGGGAAGAAGAGCCTCCTTAGAGGAGATGAGAGGGCCATCCACTGAGTGTTCTTTCCCGGCCTCTCCTCTAAACCCAGGCCCTGGGCCTCCTCGCAGCGGGCACACAGTTCCTTCCCTCTCTTGGCATCACATTCCCTTGGGAGCTGGCAGCATCCTGAGCGCAGTGTGGCTCCTCCTGGCACCTCCTCCGGGCACCCCGTACTGTGCTCACCCCATCCCATGCACTCAGAACCCTTTTGGTGGGTGAGACCCAGAAGGCCTTTGAAATCAAACCCATTTTCTCCTGGGAAACACAAGCTCACAGCTTAAGAGAGTCAAGGCCACCTGGGGGCAGAAGGTGGAGCGGACCCCAAGGAGGCCATGTCTAGAGAGACCCGGAAGAGGCAAAGTAGATGTCGAAATGCAAAGGGTGGTTCTGTGACGTGACAGAAGGCACTACTCCACATCCTCAGTGCCAGATTTTATTTGAGTTAAGAACATTTGTGTTTCATTTGATTGAGCAAATGATACATCCCCACTGGGCTACGCTAAAACTCGAGGAGAATTCTGGGAGACAGGCTCTGAAGGGTGAGCAACCAGATTCTTGTTGTGTCACAGATAAGAGAGAGAGAAAGAGAGAGAGAGAGTATGTGTGTGTAAACCCTACTCCTGGCACCACCGAAGCCCTGGTGCAATGTCCCAATAAGTCTTCTCAACAAATTAAGGCACAGAAGACAAAATCAGATTCCAAGATGTCACCTCTATTACTGATAAAGCCAGGTGAGGGCTAAATAAGGCTGTTCCCTGAACCCCAGAATCAGGTGGATTTCTAAAAGCTCAACAGGGGGTGGGCAAGAGGCCAATACCCAGATGCTCCCAGAAGGCTCCCAGCATCCAAGAGGGAGGAAGAACATGCTGGCTTTGGCCAGAGAATAAAGAGAAGAGCAGGGCTCAAATAAATAAATAAATAAATAACATGGTTGCTCTCTACCTCCATCAGGTGGGTAAGTCACTCGACCTCCAGGCGTGGAATGAGGTAAGGCAGAGAGACTCCCAGAATGACATTAATCAAGCTCTCATCACAAGAAGGAAGTGTCAAGCATGGGAAGAAGTGTCCTCTGCCATACCATGTGTGACTCTGAATCCCATCATGCAAATCCCAAAAAAAACCAAAGGCTAAATGTTCTCTCTGATATGTGGGTGCTAATACACAATCAGGTGGGTGGAGAGAATAGAAGTCCATTGGATTAGACAGAGGGGAATGAAGGGAAGGGAGGGTGGGTGGAAATAGGAAAGACAGTAGAATGAATCGGCCATAACTTTGCCATATTCATATATGAGTACATGACCAGAGTAAACTCCACATCATGTACAACCACAGGAACGGGAAGTTATACTGCATGTATATATAATATGTCAAAACACATTCAACTGTCATGTATAACTAACAAGAACAAGTACAAAATTTAAAAAAAAAAAGATCTATGTTTCTGTTTTCTGAAAACTTGATGTGGTAGATTGAAGCAAGAGTGGCTTCAATTCCTCACCCCCTCCCTTTGCCCACACACTCTGCAATGACTCCACACTTCCTCCCACAAAGGGTCGGATACTGTGTCTCCACTCTGTCTAGACTGGCCTTATGACTTTCCTTGGCCAATAGAATGTGACAGAAAGGACGGTTTAACAATTCTGGGGTTGGGCCTAAGACAGTTAATACACTTTCTCTCTCTTTCTTGGAAACCTGTGATGTAGCCATGTGAACAAGCTGAGGCTAACCTGCTGGACTTGAGAGATCATATCAAAGACAAGTAGTTTCAGCTAGCCCAGCCCAGGCCCAAGACATGCGAAACAACCCATCTAACTTCAGCAAAACCAACCTACAGCTAACCTGATCACACATGCAGCCAAGACTGGAAGAACTATTCATAGGTTGTGAACAATAATAAATGCTTATTGTTTTCAACTACAGTTTCAGAGTCATTTGTTACACAGCAACAGCTAACTGATACACATGGCCATGTTGGGCAACCCTTAGCTGGGGCTGGGCAGTCTCTTGAGCCAAGACATTCTTCCTACCACTGTCTATTGTTTCTCTGTCACAGCAACTGAATAACAGTTTCCATTAATTGTCATTCTTGGGTTTTGTTTTTCTCATCATTGGGTTAACAATAAGCTTACATGTCAAAAGAGATTGGGAGAGCTATGTGATCTAAGAAAAATGGGAAAGAGGAAGGGTTGGAAAAGTCTTCTAAAAGTAATCTCCTGTAACAACTTGAGCTCCATTCGCACTTCAGTTTAAGCATTTGTTTTAATCCCTGTTGGTCTTGTTTGTTTGTTTTGTTTGTTTGTTTGTTTGTTTGTTTTTTAATCCTATAAAGTGGAGTTAAATTTGCGTGCCTCAGAGAATTCTTTAAGAATTAAAGCTGGGCACCATGGCATATACCTGTAATCCCTTGGGAGCCTGAGGCAGGATTGCAAATTCAAAGCCAGGCTCAGCAACTTAGCAAGGTACTTAACAACTCAGCGAGACCCTGTCTCTAAATAAAATACAGAAAGGGGCTGGAGATGTGGCTCAGTGGGTAAGCACTCCTGGGTTCAATCCCTGGTCCAAAAAAAAAAAGAATTGGGTTAAGTTTAGCAGGGCAGCATAGTGGTTTAGTGCATAAACTCTGACACAAGATTGCCTGGATTTAAATCCCAGATTTGTCACTTACTAATTAATTCTATATGTCATGCAAACCACAGCCCCTGTTAGATGTCCAGTACAGCCACTTTAGTCTTTTTTGGTCTTAAGATTTCTTCCTGATCCTTACATTGTTCCAGGCAGTTATTATCAAAGTTAAGTTTAAAGGAGATTATTATTTTACAAATGTTCTAAGAACTCATAGGAACAGAACAATCCTTTCTGGTCAAAGTACAAACACTCTCTAAAGGGACCTCTTTGAACTACAGGACAAAACCCAGAGCATATTTACAGCATTCATTCACCCCATGAAATATTTAACCACAAAATAAGTATCACATGGGAAAACATGGAAATTTGTTCAGAAAATAGTGCTAAGTAAAAAGAATATGTATACAAAATAGTACTTGAACATTAATTTGCAATGCTACCAAAATATGACCGCACATTAAAAATGATTGGAAGAGAATATGGCATAAATAGCTGCCATCTCAAGTTCATAAAATTTTAACAAGAATACCATAATTTTAAAATTTGGAAAACACAGATCATATTATACTATCGTGAAAAGTATAAGCATTTGGGCTGGGGTGGTGGCTCGGTGGCAGAGCGCTTGCCTCTCACATGTGAGGCACTGGGTTCCAATCTCAACACCACATAAAAATAAACAAAATAAAGACATATTTTTTAAAAAGTATAAGCATTTGCAGGAGATTGCTTAAAGTGTCTCACAATATATTATTTTATTGGCACTTATCAATACGTTTAATTTAGAGCATTCATTGGGAGGCACAAGAACAAGCAGTTAATGACACTCATTTTGCTCCCTTAAAGCCTGGAGTTGGAATGCTCACACTCAGGGTTTTCGCTCACCACCATTCCTACACTGGTTCCTCCTTGTGGTTAAAAAAAAGAACAGAAAGAAAACTCCAACACCTCTAGCTCCAGATCACAGTGTCAGGGGAAATGAAAGAGGCCATCCTCCGCAATGGCGGCCGGTCCAGGTGCTCAGCCACCCAGGTGGGGTGCGGGACAGCGGGATCCCAACTGCCCCTGGCCTGAAACCCTGCAACAGGAATGTTTCAATCACTCTCAGCTTTCAACGTGTCCCTGAGGTTGTGTGTGGAAGGGACTGTCGTGCCCCCCGGCCCCTGCCCCCATGGTACCACTGAGCTGGCCTCCGGCTGCTCCATCATTCTTCCCTACGGAGAGCATGGTGGATTAACTGGGACCTGGGTATTTTCCTGGTTTATGTTAACAGCGAAGGGGCTATTGAACGAAGACGTCTTAATTGGCGAGCCAAGTGGGGGGACTCGATTCTCCTCCTGTCAGTTCAATACAAACTCCTGTTTCCAGGTCTGTAAAATGGGTTGATTCTTTTTGCCCTTTCTCCTAGTTCATGGGGGTGGGGGGGGGTCGGCATGATAGCAGCTAATAGGCCAGGCCCCATGCCAAGCTCTTAATATCCACCTACCTCACTTAGTTCCCACAGAAGCCCCAACCAAAGTATTTGCGTTGTCCCCATTGTGTGACTCCTGGTCCTTGGTCACCCGACTACCAAACAGATGCGAATCAATCGAAACTCAGGTCTTGCTGATAAGGCTAAAAGCTGGCTTTTGCCTTCACACCACATGCTCTTCATGTAGATTTATAAAACCTCTTAGGAACACGAGTTAAATATATAAAAAAAAAAAAATCTCAGAGACACACATTAGAAGAGTGATGAGCCGAAGGGACCATTGCGTCCTGGTATTTATTCTTTGTAAGCAATATTGGGTTCCAAAAGAATCCATTTCTGAAAAGCACCCTTCTCTACTTGCTGTACAGCATCTGAGAACAACAAGGAGATTTTAAAAATTGCTCTGAACCCCTGAACTTGCAGTCATGTGGTCCCAGCTCAGCACCGGAAGGGACCTTCACAGCCACAGTCACAGAGACCTTTGTTATTGAAACTGGTTCTGGGTAACGGCAAGGCCACACCGAGAGCCAGTCCCAGCCTGACGTTGCCAGGCTTCCTTTATTTCTCTGCCCCTTTCCTTCTCTCCCTCCCTCGCCACCTGCACCAACCACATCCTTGGACATCAAGAGGCTCTCCCGCCTGCTGGGTGTCTCTCTCCCAGAGCTCCCCAGCCCTACAGGGGGAGGTCTGCAGGTGTGAGAGCCTCCCCCAGACCCAAGCTACTCTCACCCACCACAATCTAGTCTCATATGCCCCCTACCCAATCCATTTGAAGGCAACTGCAGCCAAGATGTTTGCAGAGCCAGTGGAGAACGACATCTCCAATCTGCACACAGATTCATGCAGTAGCAGAGAAATGAACCAGAACGAAGGCGAACACAGAAACACCACTAAGGAAGGCCTTGGCTTTAACACTGAAGTGAGACCCAAACCGAAAAGTCCCTGTGGAACACCCACCACCCAAGCTTCTGCCTTTCTCCTTCTGCTGGAACTGCTACTGAGGAGCTCACTATGACATTGAAGAATACAGTGGACACATCTGGGTTTTTTTCTACTTAAATCATCAGTAGCATTTGACAAAATTAAAGACAGCATCAGTCCCCTAGATAATGAGGTCACCTAGTTATGGGGTTTATCCATGCCCCAGTGGAAAATGGATGGGGCAGTATTCTTTGCATTTGGTGAATATATACTTGTGCTTAAGTTAACTATATACAGTAGTCCCCCCTTATCTGCAAGAGATATATCCCAAGACCTCCAGTAAATACCTGAAACCACCGATAGTACTGAACTTGATACAGACATGCATTGCTTAATGACGGGATATGTTCCAAGAAACTCGTCTTTAGGAGGTTTCATCATTGTGTGGACAACATAGTACTCACCCAGGCTACACCCAGTTGTAGCCTGCCACATGCTGTCCATCCTTGACTGAAGATCATGGTGGGGCACATGACTGGACTGCCTTTTCTTATGCATACATTTGGCACTATAAGAGATTATCAACAATAATAAAATAGAATAACTATAACAATATGCTGTAGTAAAAATTATGTGAAAGTGTTTGCTCCCCCTCTCTCAAAATACCTTATTGCAATTCACCCTATTTGCAGCCCTCTGTTGACCTCAAGTCACTGAAACCACAGAAGTGAAACCACAGATGATGGGATCTATTGCACAGGTCCATCTATAAAAGAAGTTCATTCTCAATCAAGCTTTTTATTATTTTAATTAATTGTTATAGCAAATCCCTCCACAGATGAGTTAAGCCTAACAAGATGTAATATTGTCACCTACTAACCACACCCCTCCACTATGACTCAGAAACTGCATAATCTAGCGATTAATGTCACAGACTTACTGGAACCTTCTGAAACCTCACTACCTGACACGGAGGCTTATCGGCTTAAAGACTAAGAAAAATATATATATAAAAAAAGGAGGGTTCTCACGAGCAGTTGCAGAAAGGTGCTTCTCTAAGGAGTAAGGGAAACCACAGTTCCGCCCATGCTCTTCTCACCAAGCCTGTGTCCACTTTGCTTCACTTGTAGAGCTGTGTCTCCAGAAGGGGTGACTTCTAGTTTATACAAAGGTGCCAAAAGGCTAACCAGCAACTCTGAAACCTTTTCTCAAGAGGTGATCCTGAAATAGAGCCCTCTGTCTTCTGTGGAATTTGACTGTAGGATCAGTTACCTTTAGAACCCAGCACCCGGCACAGAGCCGTACTCTATAAATACATGTTGAATTAATTAACAAATATAAAACAATCTGAGAATAAGATACAGGTGCCCAATGTTGTGGAATAGAGCAGTGTTTCTCAGTGTGTGGTCCAGGAGTCCCTGGGGCTCCCCAAGACTCTGAGGAAAACATGAGATCAAAAATCATATTCCTAATAATACAAAGATCTTTCCTGTCTATTTCACTTGTGTTCTTCACAAGTATACAGGGCTCAAAATTTGTTGAAATAGTTGAATATTCCACATTGCAACTAGCTTTAAAAAAAACCATTAATATCAGCTTTTGGAATATCAAAGAGAAATACCCACAGATATCTGAGAATTATACCTCTCTTTGTTCTAACCGGATGTATGTTTGAAGATGGATTTTCTTTATATATGGAATCTAAAACAACAAATTGCAAATGGCATCATATTAACTACTGAGGTAGATATGAAATCCAACCACCATCTATTAAGTTAGAAATTAAAGCTAGTGCAAAAATATAAAGCCCTTCTTACTTTTTTTTTTCAGGAAAATAGTTGCTTGTATTCAAGAATGTGCTACTTATGTTAACATTTAATGGGTTTGTGATTGCTGTAAATGAAATAATAAATAGTTTATAATATATCCCGTGAAATTTTAATAAAATTCACAACTCACATCAACAAAAACTCTTTGCTTTGCAATGATTTTTAAGAGTATAAAATGGTCCTCAAAACAAAAAGTTTGAGAACAGCAGATACAAAACAAATTAGATTAAATTCAACTCACTGAGGACTTCATGAAAATAGATTCTGGACCCTGGCCCTCTAGAGCTGCAATAGAAGACTGAGAATTTGTATTTTATAATACAAATCCCCCCAGAATTCTGACTGTCATTGGTAGAAATAATAAATATGATAAAACTTTGGGAAATGCAGTATCAAAATGCACTGCCATTGTCAGAAAAGTCTTTGGTCATTAAACAAACATTTAGCAACACTGCAGTCATCCCTTGAAAGACCATTCCAGCCTCCAAGTATATCAGAATCTGCAGATGCTCAAATCTCTTATATAAAATGGCAAGGCATTTGCATATAACCTATGCACATCTCCCCGTATACTTTAAATCAACTGAAGATAAGATTATTTATAATGCCCAATACAATGTAAATGCTATATACATAGTTGTTAAACTATTGTTTCAGGAATAATGACCAAAAAAAAAAAAAAAGAATCTATCCATGCTCAATATAGAAGCCATTCTTTCTGAGTATTTCTGAATATCCAGAATCCATGTACATATAATCCAGGAAATGTAGGGCTCTCTATGACATGGTCCAGATGCTACTGGAAACATTGGGCAGACACCAAGAAACAAGATGCAGCTCCCGTCCTGAAATTCTCAAATCATTGGGAGAGATGGACAGGGCAGAGAAGAGGACACACAGTAATGGGCCTGGGGTACAGGAAAGAGTGCTGTTGGACACAGGGGCAGAGAAGCCCACACCGAAGAGCTGGCCTCCGACCACAGGGAGGCTTCGAAAAACAAAGGAGAAAAGGTGATGAGGACCCAGGTGCGATGGCCGGGATGCCTGTGTGATGGGCAGCACTTTGACTGGCCTGGCTGGCGGGAAGGCCCGCTGGAGAGCAGAGCAAGGTCGGGTCAGGCAGGCTGGAGAGGAGTCCCCTGGAGCTTGGGGGAGACAAGATGAAAAGTCCTGCTTAGGGTATAACTCTGGAGACTCACCAAAGGTAGCAGGCCCTCAGGCTGAAGGATGGGAAGCCTGCTCCTTGGTAATTAGAATAAAATGATTTTGGAAGCCAGGGGCCAGGCAGGACAATAGCAAAAATGCTCAGGCCCCCTGGTGTAAAATAAATTAGATAACCTGCTGAAAATCAGACAGTGGGATAAAATAAATTTAATCAACTCTCCCTGAACTTCCTATGCCCTTTTCTTAGGGGATTTCATGCATCCTTTTATAGGAGCAGCTCTTGAAATTCTGGGGTCATGGACGCTTTTGAGAATCTGATGAAAACTTTAGATATTCTCATCAAGGGATAGAAATGAATTAAAGCAAAAAATTGTGTGGCTAGGCAGGATTTTGTTCACTTTTGTATTGCCTTACCTTATATTCTCTCTCTCTCTCTCTCTCTCTCTCTCTCTCTCTCTCTCTCTCTCT